CTGCGACCCGGTCTGGGCCGAGTTCGTTTGTTCCGTGCTGTATCATGGGTTGCTCAAGTCGTCTGCAGCTGCACCAGCAGAAGGTGGCTACTCTGTCAGCCATCCACTTGTCCACATCGATTGCGCACCGGAGACAGCCGTGGAGCCGCCTAAGCACCTCGCAAAGATCACCCAGTCAGCCGCGCTTACTGAACTTGCCAAGGTCGTGCATTCTGCCCTCGTGGAGATGGGTTTTAGCACATCCGACATACTGCATGTCCCGACGTATTCACTCCAGTCGGAGGCTTTTCAGGATGAGAAGCTCCACGCCCTTAACATCGACAAGGCACAGGCATCGGAGTACGCTGTGGTCGTTGTTTACGTGCAGCCAAGAGCAGACACGGGCATCACGAAATTTTTGGAGGATCTACGCAGAGCAACCGTTGCTGTTACGCGCGCGCAGGTGATGCTGGTGCTTGTATACCCACGAGGACTCGTTGTCAACCATCACGCGCCGCACATCTGGAGTCTGTTAGATCATTATGTCGACTTGCACCCACGTGCGGCACGGTTCAAAACTTGCTCTGCGATGATGGAGAAAGTCCAGGTTGCGCCTCGGGAAGCAGACTCGACAGTTGGAAACGACAGCGAGAGCATCGACGCAGTGCTGCGGAACAAAGTGCGACGGAAGATTCTTGATGGTGAACTTCACTCGGCCCAACCGTCGAAGACGCGCGCGCAGTTCCGTTCGCTGTGCGTCCACGAGGAAGAGGATTTTGCGGATATCCTCACAGTGGACCTTATACCGGACGAAGTTATGGACTCGTTGCACACTAACCTTCGTTCGCGCCTGGCGAGCAACAGTGCCACGATGCTGCCTTCGATCGAGGACAACACCATTGACGGGAATGCGTTTGGCCCTCTTACGTTTCCTGACCCGAAAACCGAAGTGGGAGCGGGCATGGCGTTGATTTTTGAAACGAAGACAGGTTGCAGGTTTTACGTCGGGGACTTGAAGATGCGAAAGCGGATTGACGCCGAGGCAGACGCTTTTCCGGTCAAAGTTGATGTGATTGTTGACTGCCGCGCAAACTTCAGCTTCTACGATCTTTCGAAGGACATTCAGACGGAGAAAATCGATAATCAACGCATTGTTGTAGGAGTCCCAGTCGATTGGGCGTTGACGGTGCACGACTGCGCGCTCGTGCTACGACAGGGCGTTATTCGCATTCTCAAGCTAGCGACGGAACAGCGATCATTTTTTCTGCATTGTGCAGCCGGTGTTCATCGTGCTTCGCTGGTCGCACGAACTACGGCGCGCGCGCTTGACGCAGACACGGATATGCAGCGGCTTATGTCACAGCGGCCGAAGATGCAGTTCGCTTTTCCGGTTGTCGAGAGACTGCTCCGCGAGGGCGTTGGGCGCGAAGGCTTTGTGCACTTTATCGGCAGCTTTAATAAGGTCCAGGGCAAGATACTCGAGACACGACAAGAAACGAGGGAACACGCAGGCGCGCCTGCAGGACGTGGACGCGAGGAGCGAACGCCGCTACAGAAGAAGACGTGGCCCTTCAATTTTAGAATCCAGAACTACAACCCGGATAGCCTCCACGCTTTTGTCGGGCATCGACGACTGCACTTTGACGCCCTCCGAGTACGTGCTCCGACCATCATGTGCTTTGCGGAGACGAAGAGCCCAGACGCCACAAAACAGAAAGACATCCAGGACGCTACCAAGGGGCTGAAGTGGCTCTTCAACAACAACCAACGTCCCGGCACGCACGGGACCGCCGTTGCGTTTCCACAGGACTGTGCGGACGTCTTTTCCGATTTTCAACCGGCGGAGTTCTCCTCGGAAGGACGAGTGACCCGACTCACTGTCAACTTAGCGCCACGAGAGATCGACTTACAATTTTTCTTGTACACGATCTATAGCGTTTACCGCGAAGACCCCGAGCAGGCGCAGACGTGGGATCGCATGCTCACCGCGTATTTCGTCGAGCAGGCGGCTATCGGTGACGAGTTTCGTGCTGTGTTGTGCATGGATGCAAACATTGCGCCCCGCCTCGTTGACGTCACAAAACATGCAATGTACCGGAGTGCCCGAGGCACAGCTCCGGAGGACCGCGAGTTCTTCAAGAAGTTCTGCGACCAGTTTTCACTTGTCGACTTGTGGCCGCATCAGGAGCCTGACGCGAGAGGACACTATACAGCATTCATGTGTAACCGCGCTCCGGGTTGCGCGCGGCCAGGACCGGTCGATAACAATTTTGGCTACCGAATCGATGTCATGCTCTGCACGAAAAACGTGCTAAAATATTTTGCGGGCACCCAGATCCACTACCACATCCACCGAAAGATTGGAGACCACACACCGCAAGAGGCGGACTTCTTTTTCTCTTCAGGCAGTACAGACAGCACAACAAAAACGACTGCGACAGCTGTGACCGAAGAGGACACTCCCGGTTCCGAGGCATCTCCTGAGGAGAAGGCTCCCGCTCCTGAGAAGAAGGAGCGCTATGAGTGGCACGGAGATGAAGAGCGCGAAGTCGCTCCCACGACCACGAAGTCCACGGAGGATTGCGGTGACGCTCCGGGACCAACACCACCTTCAGCAAAATTTTTGCGTGCGTGCGCAGTTGAGTCGAGCTGCAGCTCCCGAAGCTGTTTTCTCGGAGGCAGTTGTGGCGCAAATTTTCGGTCGTTGAACATCGACCCCATCATTTGCGAACCAGCACAGGACGACAATATCGACGCCACAGCGCAGTATTGCGATTCTCAGGACGAAGACGACACCTGCCCAGAGTGCCAGACGGAGAGTCCAGAGGGCGACGGGACAGGACCAACGCGTGCGGAGATTGTCAAGGTGTTCTTGGAAAAGTGGCGCGGCGATGGTGGCATTTCTGAGAAATTTCGCAAGTCCGAACTACGTCAAATTATTCGCAAGTGGTCTGACCCTAATCATGTCGAGAAATACCGGGAACAGAGCGAGTTTTACGTAAGCCTTCTTGTTGACGATGTCAATTTTGGCTGTTCGGGGCTTTTCGACGGTTATCTTCGATTCGGGCAGGCTCTTTGGGGTGCAAGAGAGACTGGCACGAAGTTCGGCCACCGGAAAACGCGACTTTTTGTTCGAACGTGTCGTGCGTGTGGTTTCGAGTTCAACGCCGGAGCGAGAATTGTTGCTACTGGGAAGATAAACTCTATGAAGGAATGGCCGCTATTTCCAGACGACCCGAAGTTCTTGCGTTACATGTTGGGAGCATTGGCTTTTATGCCGCAGGTTTTAGGGATTTGGTATGGTCGCATCGTCGAAATACTGGGTCCTTGGTCACGAAAATCGCAGAAGGACTTTGCGCAGCTGTTGGACGACAAGACACGTGTCTGGGCGTTGTCGATGATAAAGTTTAACGCTTCGCTGAACCCGCTCCATCCACTTGACGTCGAAGCCATTCTCAAGGGAGTCCATATCTTGCTCGAGCTTCCTGATTCTTGGTGCCGCGGTTGGGGAGGTGTGCTTGCGTCAATTCGTCAAGAGATATGGAAGAGCAACGACACGACAGCCATTTGCGACTTGCGCGACGTGATGATCGTGCACGCCATGAAGAGCAACCCTTTTCCGGCTGCGTATCGTAGTGGAGGAAGTTTGCAGGGACCGGACGCAGAGATCCACGGCGTGTTAGGAGTCTTACAGTATCTTGACCCGATGGTAGTTAAGCTTCCACGAGTCCTCTGCCCGGATGCGAGTAATTTGACGCTTGTGCAGGACATGCATGCTGGCACCGAGAAAGCGATCAACAATTCGCTCGACTACATTCGGCGCAAACTCGATGATCCACTTCTGCAGGTGCTATGGAGCTCCTCCTACCTCGCAGAGGATCTTGCGCATGCTATAGGACACCTTGACAGCAGGACGCACATTCTCGCTGCAACTGGTGTGCAGGAGGCCTTCACGAAACCGCGTGACCGCATTCGAGATCTTTTTCCGATCACTAAGTTCTCCGACACAACGCAGGACGAAGAGGAGTGGCGCCGGAAGTGCGGCCTGCCAGGAGCACGCGCGGAAGAACAAAGGGACGCTTCTTCTAGCGCCGAAGCCGGCAAAGAAAACTTCCGACGAGCTGCTCCCGAAGCCACCGATGCTGATCTGCCTGAGGAAGACGCAGCGCCTTCTCTGAAGTATGACCTCGAGGAAGCAGCGGAGTACACTCCTAATGAGGAGAGCTGGGAGCAGATTCGTGAAGAGTCGCAGTTTTGCTATCATCTCGATGCTGACCCACAGCGTGCTCTCAACTTTGAGACGTACATAGCGCGCTATGCGTCTTATGCGGACACGCGGCAATTTTTTGACGACTACCTCGACACGGAAGACCTTATGCTTGCGGAGTCAGGAGTTGTTTTGCGGAAGCGAGTTGAGAAGACGAAGGATGGCGATCGTGAAGCGCTGGACGATGGAACTTTTTCTATGGTGATATCCAACTCTCGCCATCCCGAGGTCGAGACGGATATTTCTGATCTCGGCACTATCCTTTTCGTTTTGCGCGATAAGTTCCGCTTGAACCTTACGAAGGAGCTACTTTTGAACTGGTACGCAGGAGCGCAGCATCATCGGTCTCCGCCTGTCGATGGTTGGCTGATGACACAGATGCGTGTCGCAACACGGCGCACAAGATACAGAGTTTTCGCAGGTGCCATCGACGGCATCGACACTAATTTTGCTTGCGTCAGCGATTCTTATCGCATCTCATTCCCAGGAAAGCGGGAGGAGATTCGCAGCTTCACTACAATGCGCATTGCAGCTGCACGTGGAGCGGATACGGCACAAGAAATTGCGAGTTTCTTTCGTCTTAGCGAATTCACGTCGAAGCTATCTCCCTTCGAGCGGTGTTTAGCGGTTGTAAGCCCCGAAATGCTTCGGAAGTTGGCGACTATCCGTCTTGTTGGTGTAGTTTCGAGTGCGACTGCTGACAAGATGAAAAAATTCTTAGAGGAAGTGCCGCTTGCAGCACGTGTTGCGTCTATTAGCTCGTCTGCGACAATGCGACCTGCTGCAGCGAAACGCAGGAGGACGAACGACGGAGCGCAACTAGCTAGCGACGACGAAGCATCAGGCGCGACCGACAGCGATGGGCTGGGGATCACGGCAGAGCGCAAGCTAGACCCGGAAACCAACTTTGTCGATGATCCTCAGCCCGAGGATGTGCACGCGGCTTTCGTCGAGCTTGGTCAGAGTCCGTGCGACAAAATGAAGGACGACCTCAAGGGTGAAGGATTGACAGACGAGCAATGTCGGCTTTTGATGGAAGACTACCACGAAATCCTCTACCGCGGAGGAGTGTTGGATGTGATCAAGTCGGCAAAAAGGCGGCCTTCCTTCGAGAAGCCGACCGACAAAATGGTCCTGGACATTCATCATTACGGAATTTGCATGCCGCCGCCGTCCATCATGAACTTCTTTCTCATCTTGGGCTTCTCTGTAGATTTGCCTCGCATCACGCGCATAGTCAAAAACAACTGCCCCGAGTGTCGCTGGATGGGTGAAAGACAGGAGCCGCAACGACGAGAGAAGATCGACATTACTCCTGTTTCGTATTATGAGGCAGACTGTGCAGTTTTTCATGGAGCTGAGTGGAGACGCAGACTAGGACCTCGAGCGCCGAAAATTGAGGAGTATGACGTCTTCCGCAGCCCTGTCGCCATCAGCAAGGCGTTTGACGAAGACCCCGGATCGATTGTTCGCATTTGGCAAAACGGTGAGCCTCGTTGTAATCTTCGCCGCGCTTCAAAAGTTAAGCCAACACATCAGCTGATGGAGCTCGAGGCAGCGTCGCAGATTTCTGCAACACAGATTTCGACATCCGACACCGAGCTTCGAGGGCGAGCGTTGTTCGGATACGGTGCACTTGGTTCGAAGATCAAGGAGAACCCTTTCTACGCTCCGAACGCGTCGACCGCGCTTGTTGGGCCGACAATTTTTAAAGCGCACGTTTTGCACAGCGAGACTTGGGCAGAGGCCAACGCACTTGGCTTGGACGAGGACGAGCATCTTCTGCTAGTTGAAGGGAAGCTTAACTCTGTCTCAAAATGTGGCATACGCCTCGCAGCGTTGCAACCGGGGCCACAGACAGACACACTTGTCCAGAAAGCCATACGCAGCAATCTTGACGTTGCCATTGCGAGGATGATGCTAATTCCGAAAGTGCAGCGTATGCAGAAGAGGAGGAAGTACAAAGCCTACGGCCTTCTCATTCCTGAGAAGACGCGCGACCCGACAGCAACTACTTTTGTCTTGTTCAAGTACCAGAAGGCGTTCTGGGTCGAAGCTATTTTTTTGCGTTTTTTTGCTAGTGTTGTATACGTCGTTGCGTACAACCGGTGCTACATGGTGTCTCCGGAGTTTGTCCTTTGGGAAAAGACGAAGCAAGTCAAAGAAGAGGAGGCATATCCGCAGACGTACTTCGCGTGCTACCCTCCGCCAACCGCTGTTCGCGTTGCGTGGACGGTCGGAAACTGGCAGAGCTATGTAGTGCGGCCAGAGGAATGGATGGCCGACTTGACAGTTGGCACAGTGGACGACGCAGTGATCACCGCCTTCCTTGACTCGCAGCCGAAGAGAGTTGTGGCTGATCGCTTTCGTGTTCGCGAAGTGGCGCGAGATGTTGTTGTCAGCCGTTGCCGTCCTCAGCGAGAACCTGAGTTGTTTTCGATGCGAGTCCGCAGTGGCAACATTTGTTTGATTCCAGTGTCATCTTCGAAGATGATGCCGATGTACGGTCGGGCGTACAACGTCAAACACGATGGACAGAGCAAGAAAATCATCTATTGGACTTTCGCTTCCGCTGTCGATCCGGCGGTGCAGGTTGCTCGAGTCTGGGTCTTCGCTCCCTCGTCGGAAGAAACGGATGCGCAATTCCGCAGCATGACGCCAATTATGCCCTCCAGCTCTACGTCAGAGACGGAGACGCGCGGGACGTGTGACACGATCGCGCACACGGAAGACGCCGCTGCAGACGCTGACGAAGCGCGAGACACGCTCCGTGGATCATTTCAGGTTGCGCAGGCTTGTTCGATTTTCGCTGACGCTGTCGCCCTGGCCCAGATCTACGACACAGAGAAGAGACATGAGCAGCGATGGGACCGCGCGGACATCATTAAGGGCGACTTTGTAGTCCTCTCTAATAGCGTCCAGTCCTGCCGACTTGTGGTTGCAGAGAGCTTTCGCTGGAATCTGCTGACGGGGCGCGCCAGTGAGAAACGCATCAGTGAAGCGAAGAGTTTGTATTACGGCTCGATGTGCCAGATCTCTGCGGGTGACGCGCCCGGCGTCAATGATGTCACCATCACGCGAGAAGGGGCCACGGCAGTTGAAATCTTACAGGCGGTTGCCGAGTGGTACAGTGGCGGGCTAACGTCTTCGACATTCAACGTTGCGGCAGACGGAGTGCGCTTTGGGTGTGTTGCCGAGGCACGGAACCACACTTACGACCTGCTTACGCCAGCAAACGTAATTCCTGCAACTGAGGAAGCATCCGTCGGCACCATGTTCAACATGGACGCGAGAGGCATTGGCGACGACCTTGCGGCGTCTGTTCCTCGTGCTGGATTTTTGCAACGTTCGCAGAAGCCGAACGTGCCGCCGCTCAGCGCAGCCGAACTTCTTGCCGATATGATCAAGCAGGGACGAATTGCCAGCATCAAGGAGGTTGAGCAAAGAGTTCTGATGGACCACTTTTTTCTGAAAGATCTGACGCGTGAGCGCTCTAAGTATCTCCGCGATCGGATGATGGCAATGGTCGCTCCGTATGAGCTTAACCCAGAAGACAGCCAAGGTGTGAAGTTTGAGGACGCGCGTAAGCTACCGATAATTTCTGTGCTGTTGGACACGGGTTGTCTGTGCGGGCCGCCGACTGATCTGTCTGAAGTGCAGCAAATTCTGAACCGTGACGGGGTTGATTTCAATGTGATGGAAAAGTCAGGCATAGTCTCGGCAGATCTTCGCTTCCACATCGTGCACGCAGCGATCGCGCCATGGCTAGCGGCAATCTTGTTGCGCGAAGGGTTTCCACTTGTTGACCGAGGAAGTCTTCGAACGCGTCCGCATTTCCTGAGTGGATTTACTGGGGGGTCGAAAGACTGCGGAACGGTTGTCATAGCCTTCCGTCTGTGGTTGATGGATCGCCGCACAGGGTTGCTACATTTGACGCCAGCGATCCTCGGATATGTTGTGCCAGGATGGCAGGACGTCGAAAAAGACCGAGACAACCTCGGCTGTGGTCTTGGCGAAATTACATCAACGGGAATGCGCTTTGTGGGAGGAGGAGACAGTGACCCCTTCACATTAAGGATCAACACAAGCGAAGAGCACGTGGTCGAGGTCGTTAAGTTTTGCAAGACGGCGCAGAGCAGCTTCTCGCGTGGCCCATTCGATAGCGCAGGACCTGAGGGCGATTTGAACACGTCAGGGCCAGACTACACGCCGCGTTTGCGATCGGCGGCGCCCTCCGATGAAACAGTCACCATCCGCCAAGGTGAAACGCGTCAAATCCGTGTGCCGTTGCCGCTACCGATCGGAACGCGAGTTCAGATAGATTTGATCTCGTCAGACCGTTCAAGATTACACATTCCCGGCTATCCTCTCATGACCTGCGTAACTCACCATCACGAGCTAGTCACTGAGCTGACAACAGTGAAGACCCAGGCGCGCCTTTCGGGTGGAGTGGTAACCCTCAGAGTGACGGTCTTTGAAAACCCTTCGTTTTCGACGAATGTGCAGGCCAAAATACTGTCAGCCGAGAAGGAGCAGGAACGCGAAAAAAAGAAGGCCCACGGGCCAGCAGAGGCGGCTTTCAACTCAACGAGAGTGCGCTCGCGCGGCATCGACACCGACCCCAGGACGCTGGACTTAGCCCGGGAGGAAGTAGACGCGTTCCTCAAACGTTTCGACGCGAAGATGCCGCAGGATGAGAGGGTCGCTGAAGCAGTGCTGCAGTGGATCAAGCATATGGATATCGATGGACTTGTCGACGTACAGCAACGCGAGGACGGAACAAAGAGAGAGCAACTTCTTCGAGAAATCGAAATCCTAACAATGGCGTACGCCGCTGAGCACGCTTGCGCCGCAACGATGCTTGATGGCGATGAGACACCTAACGCACGCATCAGAGACGCGGAGGGGAACGACAATGGGCTGATCGGAATCGAAGTTATCAATCCGCACCGAACTCCGAGGCCACAACCAAGGCGGCACTCTTTGAGCGAGCTGGAGGACGAGTTCATGTTGCTTCTCGCGATTATGGACGGACGACTTGGCGTGATCCAACCTTACGAGCAGTCCGAGCACGGCTGGCTCCGATATGTCTCGAACACAAGGCGGGCAAAACGTAAGGGCTGGAATACTGGACGCATGGTCACCGCTTTGCTCGGGCCTAACGATGTCATCGAGGACATCTACGTCTACTGCTCGATCCAGAGTGAAATCCAGTCTCGCTTGATGCGCTTTGGCACCAACTTCTACATCGAATCGGATTTGAGTCGTGCGTTTGCAACGATGAGACTGGCGATCGAGCTTTCACGCTGGTTGGGCTTGCATGTTGGGCGAACAATCTACATCGCGAAGCGAGCGATGCTGGGCCTCAAGTGCTTCCCTGGTTTATTTTCGCAGATCACAGTTCCGAGTTTTTCACGGTGCCGCACATCGCCAGACGCTGTGCGGGCTTTTCGCGATGAAGTTCGTAGTTGTATTGAGAAAGAGGGCTGGCTAGGATGGGGGATCGCTGAGGCGATACAGAGAACAGGTTGATAGCATATCCAATGGCTGGGTGGGTGGTATTTGGGAATTTGTGTTTGTGCTTGGGGTTGGGTCACCGTGTCTTGAGCTCCTCCCGTAAATTTTGTCTTTTTCGGGTTTTATCTTCTCGGCCGATAGATAGTAAGAGCAACGCAATTTCCTTGGCCTTATAGCTGTTATCTTCGTCTGCTGTTTTACTTTCAGTCGTTCCTTCGCCGTATTCTCATCACTACTCGCATCTGTCTAAGGCGGTAGGCCAATGCTATTCAAATGGAGTTACTTTCTATTTTTTGTGGTCTTCCTCTTGTAACTAAATCTGTTCCTTCGCCTTATTGATGTAGAATTTGCCAGGTAGGCGCTGATATTCTTCAGGACGAGTAATCTACTCGGCCTAGACTGAGCGACTGAGCACCAGGACCAGGACGCAACAGGGAGCGTTCTGGGAACTTCAAGACTCGCCAGCTTGAGAGCTTTGATCTTCGGCCGAAGGGCCCGGAGTTTGTACTTTTTCAGCTTGCTACGGTGTAGTGTTTTTTGTCCGTCTCATCAGGAGTGGCTGACTTCGTTTATTATTCTTTGTCCTCTTCTAATTTTTCAGCGTGGATCCTTTTTTTTTTTTTGAATTCTTCTGGCATTTGTGGGGAGTCTTGTATAAGTGCTTGCTTGATAGGAAACAGATTTTGGAAATCTGTTTCGTGTAAAAATCCAACATCCATGATTTTGTCTCGTTTATTTGTCGCTCGTCTTATTACAGTTTCTGTCAGTGTCTGCCTGTCTCTGCAATTAAAAAAGTAGTAGTTTTTGTAGTGCTTATTATTTAGTATTCTTGTCCGACTCCGATCAGCTTCACTTATTTTTACTGAAATTACTTCTGTCTGTCTTCAGTCCTCATAGGTCTAGACGTCTACCTTCTCGTATCTTTACCGTTGTAAGCAAGATCCTTTGGCGCAGTTGATTACCCTGTAGTCCTGCGTCGGGGTCGGCTAGAATCTAGTGGTGAGTCGTCCTTGCGGCTGTTTGCACGGTCTGGCGCTTGCCGCAGTGATTCGACGTCCAGAGGTCTAGTTCGTTAGCGAAGTTCTTAGCAAGCGCAACAGCAACAGATTAGCACGGGCTTCGCAGTAATGTAGCCGGGTCGTTGCCCTGCTCGACACGCTGTGAAAAAAAGGACCTCACACAACAGCAGGGCAAGACCGGCCTCCTTGGCAGTCTGCTAAGTGCCCTCTGGGTCCTCGGGTTTGTCCAAGGTGCGTGGCTGTCCAGGAAAAACGCTCCTCCCCTCCCCAAAGGTCCAGACTTTTTTGACGACTGGGCAGCTTCCTGACCTAAGAAAAACCCACCGCGAACCAACAGGCTGGAGCTGTGGAAAGCAGCGGCTAACCTTCCAAAACCGCGGGGGAGATCATTTTCCCCATCGGGGCTGGT